ATGTGCGTTGTTTTTTTTTAAGTGGAGAAGGCGGGTCTTTTCAAGAATTCGTGAAAATCCTCCACAAAACCTTTAAAATCATATCTGGTTGCCAAACATCTTTTAACAGAGTTAGCTCTGGTGTTTAAGGGGAACTCAGACAGCTGTAAAGCTTTACTCTAGGTCCCATGACTTATTTGGCGACAGATCCAATCCTCTCAACTTACAGTGGTGAGTCCTTATCCATATCCAAAGGTACCTGAAATTGTAACCTCAATCACTCATTGTATTAAGTCTGTAGAAATAAAAGTAACCAGAACATTTTTAACTGTTTAAGAGAATTCGGAACAAAAAGGCTGAAACTAAAAGACCTACATGGAATTTATTTCTTACACCTGCAATCATCCAAGGTATGCATCATATCACCTAGGTGAAGAAACATGTGAAGCTGCTGAGTTAAGATTTTTTTTTTTTTTTTTTTTTTATAGTCTATTTTATCATAAATCTTTTGTGTTTTCATATAATGCTTTACGGCTCAGAGGTGATCACAGGTGTTCATTCTTCCAATCTTATCTGGTGGATTACCAGCTGCCATCGCTTGATAATCGCTGGCAGCCGCCAGGTCTTGCATCCCAACACCCATCCTAACTCTGAACACACAGGCAATGATGCACAGATACTACAGTAGGGTACAAAATCCACAGTTTAAATCCAGACAGTCTTGGGCTAAGTTTCAAAAATGCAGTTTGTAAAAAACTAAAACAGAAATATAAACATAAAATGATTAAAATACACAGGAAAGGTTTCAGTGTGATATAAACGAGCTAAAAGAAAAGTCAAAGCAGTCACACTAAGAGCTTGACAAAAGCAGAGGAATATGAGCATACACTTGTTTGATTTTTACATGCAGCATTGCTGCTGTCGTTATTATTCATATCCCTCCCCAGGGAGGCTTGTATGAAAAATGGGACTGTATCAGCCCCCACCCTGTATGTCACCATCTCACTCTTCCTCTCTCTCTCTCTCTCTCTCTCTAACAGACACTTGTTTTGGAGTCTTGTTGAGGAAGTAAAGCCAGGCTGCTCCTCCCCTCCTTCCCTCTTCTTGCTGGTTTGCCCCCCTCCTCCTTTTTTTTTTCTCTTCCTTCACTTTTTCTCCCCAACAAAGAGTGATCCAGCTCGTCTCCTTTCCGTCACGTGGGTAATCAGCCTCTGCTATTTCATTTGGCTCAGTAATGAAAGCAATCCCAGTGCTTTTCACAGCAGCGCAGCCCAAATAATGAGCGCTGCCTTCCCCTCCTCTCCCCTCCTTCTCAGCCACACCTCACCCCCCATCCTCACCCTCTTCCTCCCAACCCTGCTGTTAATGGATGAAGAAAAGCAAATGTGACTGTGTGTGTGTGTGTGTGCACGGGTATGTGAAGCACGCAATCCTTCCAAGTCCTTTGTGCCTATTTTTCCCCTCACTGGGCTGTAAAGGAGTATTGTATAAAATCTGATCAACAAAGCTCTTAAACAATTTGAAAAATGTTTCCCTTTTTAAATGAATCCAGCAGTTAAATTTCCAGCCTATATTACATGTGACCTGATTATAGCTCTCTCTGCTGTAACCATTCAGACTGCACGTCTGTAAAATAACTTTGTTTTCCTAATGAGATAATACCGTGCTTCATGTTGCTTATAGTGAATTTACAGTAAATCACACAATCTGATTTCCTTCAGACTGTATGAGTTAATTTTATCAATATTTTAGTTTGAATTATAAGGAACATTAAAGAGAGAAAAAGAACTGAAAAAATGATAAGCTGCTTATCAATGATTTGCAAAATATAAAATAGAAAACTATTGCTTGAATGGATCAAACTTAAGTCAAAAAAAGGCTCAGCCAGTATCAGCTGCTGGGTTATCAGAGAAATTATTAGCTGCTTGCATTCAAAAAAGTGAACCAGTGTTCTACTTTATTTTAATTTAAAACGCTGTTTGCTGGAAAACAAATCATTGGTCTGTGCAATCTTTCCACAGTCATTAAAGACATAACAGGAACTGAAATGTCAATTACACAATTAGTTTCCCTTTGGGACATCAAATCTCAAGTGTTACTTGGTTATTTAAAAAAACAATAATGTCATGTTTACTAGAAAAAAATAATTTAACCCCAATAGCACATTGAACTACAGCCCTGGTTCATTACATGAGTGTATAGGTACTGCAGCAGTTGAAATAATCATGTAAAGTCAAACCATCAGCAATAAATCCCTTTGTTCATGAGCAATTTGAGATTGACATAAAAGAGATGCAACATTTGTGTAGTGGCATGTGAATTGATTTTTTTTCCCCCATTTTGGGTCTAAACCTGTGAACAGCTCATCAGATAACTCTTAAATATGACATTCGATCTACAGTACACATTAAAGCACAGTGGATCAGTTACCAGGATAGAAAAAATGTTTTTTATACTATGGTGCAAAGCCAGTTGTTGAGATTCCAGGAATCAAAAAGCTTGATTAAATCATAACACTTCAGGATGTCATATTGCCTTATGCTGAAGCGAAATGTGGTTCAAATATGAGTTTCTCAATATTGAGCATCAACCTGACTAACAAGATTGTTTTGAAGTAGCCAGGAATATTAACTATTGGATGACATCAAAAGCATCAGAAATGGAGTAAATTTGCGGAATGCCAGAAACTCGACTCATGTCAAAGATGTTAAGCAGATCTCAAAATCTTTTATGATACACAGTATACTTGATTTATTTATTTTTTTGCATCCTGATTGGGCTTTAAATATCCGTCGTTTATAAGGCATGAGTGATTATGGACACAAGAGTCTTTCTTTAAGAACACTGAGCTTAAGCTATTAAACTTATAACTGTACATCAGTTTAACATCTTAGAGCAAAGCTCAAAAGGGCATCCAAAGACACACCGACTTCACAGAAAAATGTGAGCAAAGGATGCAACCCTCATAAGAAAAAAACTGCTTATGGCTTTTGTTACACCAAAATCTGTTTTTAAACCAAATAAATAAATAAATCAAGAGCTGTAAATCAAATTTCTAAGCACATTTTTTTTTTCTTTTTTACTGAGTGCCTCTAAGGAGCCATCACTAGCAACACATGGGCACAGAGAGCTAAGATAATTTATAGGCGACAGGCTAAACTTCACAAGTACAGATATTTTTATGTTATCAGTCTGTGGAATTCTGACTAAACAATGTTAAAGCAACCATTAACCGGCTGGTAGAAAACCAATCAATGAATGGAAAATTTGAAGATGAACCAGACAGAATACAGCTAAATCAGAGCTTGATTAAAAAGTCTCCCACACACATTGCAGCATGTGTTGCATTTGGAGCTGAATGCAAACAGCCAGGGAAAAGACAGATGTGGTAAAATTCATAAAAATCTGCTCTACTGATATTGACCTTTTTAATATGAAAATGAGGCGGGCCATGTGTACAACTGGACTGCAAAACTTTTTCCAACCAACCTCAAATAGTTTCTCAGCAATAAATTCTCATGGAGAATTAAACTATCCATTACAGAGAGCAGTAAATGGTAAATGGCATGTACTTATATAGCGCCTTTATTCAAGTTAGGAGACTTGACCAAGGCGCATACACTACATTCATTCACCCATTCACGCACACACACACACTGATGGTGGCAAGCTACATTGTAGCCACAGCTGTCCTGGGGCTCACTGACAGTAGCGGGGCTGCCGTACACTGGCGCCACCGGGCCCTCTGACCACCATCAGTAGACAATGCAGGTAAATAGCAAATGTCTGCCATAGAAATATATTCAACGACTACTATGCTGCAAGGGTCAACTATCGTTATTCCTCTCTGGAGTGCCTTCAGCTTATTGGCCAAGACCAAATCTCTATACCGTTAATGTATTTTTAATTGCCATCAAAATAGGTAAAAGCCTCCAACTCTAAGTTTAAGTTTTTACATAGAAATATTATGATTCATTATTTTTCCCCTTTCATTTTTGTGGTTTATAAAAATGCAACTCGCTTAAAACTATTTTTTTTTGTTTGATTTTACAACATAAACACCACAAACTTTCCTATTTGACACCAACGGCTTCATAACACTGCTTTGGGGAGCCAAAATGCACCATCTGTACATTTTTATCTTTATCTCAAAGCAAAGGAGTGTAAGCAAATATATTCTGCGACTCAGTTGTTCTGTTACAGACAAAGCAAGAATTGTCGTTCTGAAGAGGTGCTTGAATCAGCTAATGATTTTTTCTTTTTTTTAACCCCTAATTTCTAACCCAACTGTTTGGTAAAAAAAAAAAACTGAAGGTCCCCTGATTTTATCTAACCCATCACTTCGCCTTCATTTCTTCTTTTCTTTTATCCTCCTGTTATATATTCTGGTTATGCAACTATGCATTACAAACTTCATTAGTGTGTTAAAAATCTTTTCTAATAATAAAAAAACCCAAAAATGTTTTGCATTTCGATTATGTCATTGATAGTTGTTTAAAATAGATGTAGAGCAAGAAGACATCAATGACAACTCTTGGTTTTCTCAAATTCATAATTTTTCATACTTTGTTTCAAATGCAGATAAAACTTCACTTCAGCAGGTAAAAAAGTTACCACCATAATGTAGCAACCATGGATAAGGAAACAATGACTTCAATACAATGGTGTGCTTAATTAGTATAGAAAGAATTTTCCTTAAAACTAGTTTAACCTAAAAATACTGCAGCAAGACAGCTGACATTTAAACCCACTCCAGAAGGCAAGAATCGAGTACAGCTTACATCTAACATCCACCCGTGTGATGAGTTGGCAGACAAAAATCTGTAGGAAGTGAGAAAAGGACTGAAAACACTGCCAACATTTTAGGTTTTTAAAGTCTGAGTAAATGCTGACTATCTTTCTGTTATAATTTTCCATTTGGTTTGCAGTCTCATCTGATTTTAAAGTCGGTAAAAAGACAATAGAAGAAACCAAAATGATAATTTAAACAAACATAACTCTTAAAAAAAAGAGCAGCCACCAAGAATTAAACTTCAGTTTTATCAAGTACCAGTACAATGCCCTTTTTAATACATCAAACATTCAACAAATAACACTGAAATGTGTCAAGTAACCCTTAAACTATACACAATAGAATGGGTTGATTCAACAGGTGTGATTTTGTTGAGGAAAAAATAAAAATTAGAAGCATAACTGGTGCATGTCAGAATCATTTGTCTCTAAAAATAGCTTTCTTTCCAGTACAAACTTGCTTTAAAATAATAGTTTCTTGTCTTATTTATCCAGATTCATTTTTATTTTATCAAAGGGGATGAAAAATAAGCATAATAATCAGTTTTAATAGCTTTTGCATTACCAGTTATTTTTTTATGGTAGTAAAATTTAGTGATATATCTGCTTATCCTTTTCAGTTGACTGAAGAAAAGGTACATTCACATCGCGCAGGCTTACCTGCAGCAAATGTGCGTCCAAAAACTTGTCCACCGACAAGAAAAAGAAATGCAATGAAGTGGAGCAGATGCTCTAAAGTAAGCCCGCTTGGTTAAGCACATAGATGAGAAGTTGCAGCTCGGGTGCTGAATGATCAGGTACTGCATTTCATGGGAATTGATCCCAGAGATATTACACACTCAACGCAGATGCAACGGCTGAAAGCATAAACCTCTTTGTGCTGAAGCACTAGAAGCTAGAAGTAATCCAGTCCAAAAAAAAAAAAAAAAAGATAGAAAAAAAAAGCAGAGAAAGATGAAGCATTTTCACTTCATTGAGATTTTCCACTCTAACATTCATGTTTTACTGTTTCTGAGTGAAATGAATCATTGAGGTTTGCAGGATCGAGTCTTTTTCTGTCAGAGGGTCTGCACCTGCACTGGGAAGAGCAGGGACAGATGCTCGGCACCTCGGATCGGGAGTTTATGCGTGGTGTAATAGTGGACGGCCTCGGGAATGGTGTCAAAGGGTGGGCTGTTCTGTCCCAGCACGTACTTCCCATCTTTACACTGTGAGAACTTCATGTGCATAAAACCCTGGCAGCTCCTGTGAAGAGGAAAGTATGAAAAGAAATTTGACAAATGAGTGGATGGCAGCTAATAAAAGAAAAAAAAAACACCATAAAAAAGAACAGGGAGGGAAAAGAAGACGCATGAAATGAAATTTGGAGCAGCCTAACATCACACAGCCTTCCACACATTTGGTCCCAAGACGGTATGTGTGAGCAATCGTCTGGATTTATGTTCGCTTTGTATTTCACTCTGGGAACATGAATCCAACAAAAACCTAATAACACTGACACAAATTGGGATGAGAGGGTTTTTGTTTGATGGATGAATGGTGTAATAAGACATAAAAAAAAACAACAACAAAAACTCTAAGAGAAAAAGAAGACTGCAGACACTGGAAGTGGCTATGCTGAGAGCCACACCTTCCCTTTAAAATCCATACAGCCTTGAAAGAACTGCTACTTTAATAGTTTTTCAGCCAGCTGTGATGCATGTCTAATTTTAGCAGCAAAGCAAAAGACACAAGCTGAAGCTGGTCAGCAGAAGTGTCATCTTATAGGGAATGAAATATTGAAAACATTTCCAGTAAACATTGTCCAGCAAGCCTTTAAGGATCATTTCAATACTTTGTTAAGACTTGTGTAATTAAAAAGGCAGTATTGTACCCGTTCTTTCAGACTGCCGTAACTCTTTCACCCTATCTCAATAAAATCACCTCCAACAGTCAATTAAGCTATTCTTCAGATTTTTTGTAACATGGAATACAGGTATGGGCCATTTTTTCAAAGCCATAATAAAAAAAATATGTGAAAAACATTGTTATACAGCACGTGTTTGCAGAATAAACTTTGTTTAGGTTGTTTTAGACACATGCTCTTGTAATATAGTTTTATTGACGGGATAGTTGCAGAGGTATTTATAATAAGATAAACATGAAGGCAGTTAAAACATGGTAAACATTTACAACTTTAAAAAATAATTTAAAGACTCCCCAATTAGGGAAATGAGCACATTTACTTCTCTCACCATCAAACACATAATGCAGATTACTTAAATCCTTTGCTACAGGACTTACCTCCAATGTTGATGTGATATTCCACGCTATATAGAGGTTAAAGAGTTTATTTATTTATTTTATTTATTTAATATATATATAAAAATTTTAGAATTTTAACAAGAATTCTAACAACATTCAGATAAAGAGTGCTATTGTAGTGCAAAAAAATGTATATATACATTTTAAATGTCTCTGCTTTTGGAGGAGATTCACACATTCTAATACAGCATGTTTCAATATACCTATTCTCATTAATTACTCTTTTGTTCAGTGCATATAGATTTGGCAGAGAAACTAATGAGCACAAAGAATATTTCCAAGTGTAGTAATAAAAGTGCATGACAACAAGTCATGGCTTTTTTGAAAATTAGGCTGTTTAGGAAAAAGGAAAGTAGCAATCTTTCTTGGTTACAAGACTGAACCAGAGGAGGTAAAAAAAAAGTTTCCTGTTTAAACTGAGCAAGACCTGTTATAACACATACAATATATACATTTAAATGTGTTCCTGCTTTGCTCTTTTATTTAACTACAGATGGTTTTAATTTTCTCACATAAATTTAAAAAATATTTCCAATTACACAGTACATCTTTTATCTTTCCTGATGAGGTTGATAACATTTTTAACCCAGTATTTCTTCTGCTTTAGAAAAAAATCATTCAACAGTTACTAGGGTTCACAGATCTTGATAAATTCACCTCTTCAAGACTCTAGAGTGCTTGTTTGGGAAAAGTCTCAGTGCTGACCTTGATGTCTAGGCAAACATGCATGTGTACGTGTGCATGTCAAAAACCCTCCACTTATTCAAATGAGTAATGCATGAGCTTGTTTTTTATGTCAGCACGACACAGTGACTCCACTCCCCTCGTTCCCATTCTATCCTATTCCCTGCCTAATTCCCTTCTTGGGTGTCCCACAGAAGGTAATTCATATTCATTAGTGATTATGTGGAGGATGATGTGTGCACTGAAGTGTGCTCTACCTGACTGATTACCACTTAGACGGCCCGCTGGGGCTACAGAGGAAGGCCACTGAGGGGCAGATCAAGGATGCTGAGAGGACAGAGTGATGAGGGGAGACCGGTGCGAGGCCGGCACAATGGATCACGATTGTAATTACAAGGGAGAGATTTGACCAGATAAGCAGTATTGTGCCTTGCGCAGACATCAGTAGTGGAATCAGTGTAGCAGTGATGTTAAATGAAGGCGATAGTAGATGGGAGAAGAAAGAGCGAGAGACAGACGGAGAGGTGTTGGAAAATGCAATATGAGATGAGGAGCCAAGACATCTGCCCTCATACATAGACACAATACAAAAAAATGATAATGCACAGTTACAGTGTGCAGACTGATGATCCACAATGCAAGGCGTTTAACATGCTCATGATTTTAGGTGCGTCTTACCTTAGGGACAGAGAGAAGTCTGAGCGGTTCTGACTGTTCCTCACCAGGTAGCTGCACTCTTTACACAGTGTTAGCAGTGACTCTGCCTCCGAGCGCGACAGAGAGCCGTGGTACCATCTGTTACAGCATACACAAGCAACAACAATAAGACACCAATGCAGTTATATGATAAACAAAACATATCAGTAGTCAGCAATGATGGATGTGAAACCTATGGTGCTATCTGTGCCCTAGGTTTACTTTGGCTTAAAAAAAAATTATTCATAGCCTAGGCTAAATAACAGTTTGTTCCCTAATGGATTTTAGTGGGATGATCCTAACCTGGCATAGGCCAGATTTATTTGTGTAGGTCAATCTAAACTCTACATCTGGAAAGGCTTCTATGAAAGGTGTTTGCAAAAGGGAAGGAGATTCAGTACAATTCTTCTATCACAGCTGCTCGATTTGTTTCACAAAGTTAACTGATAAATCAAACTCTTAACAAATCTGATCAGGAGGAACGCCCAAACATCTTTCCCATCCACAAAGGCACACATAGCATCATTTTCTAAAAAGAAATAGAGGGCATTCCAGCAAAAACTGATTCAGCAATTTTTGTTTGGCTTCAGCCTTCCGCCTCTGGTCGACTTAATACACGTCACTGAAACATTTCTGTATCGAGGCCAATGCATCTGTTGGCTTCTGGAAAGATGTAGTTTAGAGGAGTCAAATCCGGCGACCATTTGTCTTGCTGGCAAGGTTAGCGGGATCCTGGATTGATTTTACAATTTCATCACAAATAAATATCTATTAAAAGTATATGTAAGTGTGAAAATGTCAACAACCCTGCACTGTTTTGTGCTGAATCATGTGCAATCTCAATCAAATACTCTTGCTGGAACTGGTCAAAATGTTCAAAGAAGTTTTACATTGCACACTAAATTGTTACAACAACCAAAACAAGAAGTTTTCACAGATGACTGAGGAAGACATGCCTACCACAGGTTTACAATTATGTTTTACTGATTAAAACTCTGAAACCACTAAGCTCCAAACAGCCCCAAAGTGATTATAACGGAGCAACGGAGCATGGCAACTCCTCACATGAATATGTTCACATGACCACATGCAGTGTGTCTGAATTTGCATGTGTGCTTAAGGGCTGTTGTACTCAGGAGTTTCATTAGGAAAACTGCTCTTCATGAGCACTGAGACAGCACATAAATTACACCAATGATGTTTGAAATTGAGACCAAGGTAAATGTGTTTCTTGAATGCTCTGACTTAATTAGTGAACGTTCAAACCTCTCCCTACTCTGCTTAGTTGAAACCTGAACAGCTTCATTTGAATTTGTTCAAGCCCATAATAGATCAAAGCAGAGCAATAAAAGTCTCTTGGCTTTTAATGGGATTCTTTCCACCGCCGTGTCTGTCCTTACACGTTCATGACCACTTTTAAATACAATCTATTAAATAGATTCATGAAAGCAATGAAGAGACATTAGAACCTTCTCTAAGTGAAATTGCATACATTTATACCTGCATTAACAGCTTGTATTAGGTTACTAGTTGCAAAGAAGGACCTTGAAAAGATCAGCAATAAGGGGTTTTGCAGCGCAAGATGTTTCCAACTTCTTTCTTCTACACACGTTAAAGAAAAAGCTTTTCTAATATTTTTTATCCTTTATAGTCATTAGGGCAAAACTTGGAAATGTTTTAAGTTTTTTTTTTTTTTTTTTTATAACATGTTTAAATTGATTCAGTTTTATCTGTGAAAATGTAGATGACTTTGGCCCAATTAAGGAGTGTACACAGAAGAGATGAGCTGTGCATGCTGTTGATTTTTTATTTTTTTTGTCTTTAATAAAATGATAAAATAAGCGATTTGCAATAAGCATTTAATTGAATAACAAAATTTTGCCATTTGGAGGTGTGCACCTTTCCATTAATATTGACAACAGGTGGGGTGAGGTAATCCCTAATCCAACCAGATCAGGGTTGTTAAAACCAGTTCAAGGGTTTCTGTATCATGTGTCCCAGGGTTGGATGTCCGGTTTAACCCACCGTCTCTATATTTGATCGAGTTCATTTCCATAAATAATGAAGTTACCTAAATACATAAAAAAAATCTTGTAGTGCTTTTAATCCTTTTACTGCAATTGAGACATTTATTTAAACTTTTTTAACTTTAAAACTAACAAGGATACAGAGTCATTAACCTCCCATGCAAACTAAAATCACACCATGTGTCTTGAACCTACAAAAAGTTGTAAACAACAACATTTGTAAGCCTCCTGGAAAATGTTGCTCACTCTGAACCAGTAAATGGGGAAGTTTATTACAAGTAAGGTTTCTGTATTCTGTGCCTCAGCTGTCTCACCCTCCCAAAAATGTTCCAGAGAGGAAGAACTCCCATTGAACTCCATTTAACCCATTAGCTGTGGCTCCCAGATTCTTCAAAACTCCACTTCTGATTGGTTGAAAAACCTCAGTTGAGCTCATTTGGGCGAAGACATCAGTTCTGGTAAAAGAGTAGCTCTAGGTTTGTTTTCAGCATTCCATGTTACAACCTTATCATACAACCTTTATCATAAAAGTTCCGTGAGACACTGTTTTTATATTTTAAAATAATTTTTGGAAGATGCTGTGCATCATCAACCATAACTCAAATCCAAAGCGAAGAGCTCCCAGGCACCCATCATCTGAGGAGGCTCTGTCCTTTCTGAAAGTGACCTACAGAGGCTGACAGAAGCAGTTTTGTCGTCCGAGTACAGATATGTCTCTGAGATACAGACAAATGTAATGGAATAGCATATTATTGGGGAACAGGCAGGTCTGTAAGCAAAAAAGACGACAACATGTGTTCAACCCAAAAGGTGTTTTGTCCTTGTCCTTTAAAAATCAAACCGATTCTTTTGTGGTGCGTAAACTCCTGTTCTAAACTTCTCCCTTAGATTAAAATGATTTCAAATCAGCACCAAAAACAACCTTCTTGTCATCTGACTGTAAAACTGACTTAGCTTTTATATAAAGGTGTTTTGTCTTTTGGCGCAGCGGGTAGCACTGCTGCCTTGCAGCAAGAAGGATTCCTGCCCCGGGGTCTTTCTGCATGGAGTTACATGTTCTCCCTGAGCATGCGTGGTTTATCTCCGGGTACTCCGGCTTCCTCCCAAAGTCTCAAAATATGACTGTTGGGTTAAATGGCTTCTCTAAATTCTCCTTATAGTGTGCGTGTGTGAATGGTTGTTTGTGTTGTTTATCTCTGTGTTGCCCTGCGATGGACTGACGACCAGTCCAGGGTCTACCCCACCTGTCGCCCGTGGACAGCTGGAGATAGGCACCAGCACCCCTCGCGACCCCGCTTGGGCTTAAGCGTGTAAGAAAATGGATGGATGGATGGTTTTTTGACTTTTGATCAACCTTTCATTGAAATCGATGTAGCTGCATAGATTCATTTTGGATTGTAGATTACAAGTGAATTTTTTAGATTGCATACCGAATACAATATTCCTGGAGTCAAGTTACAATTTCTATATACTAAATGGCACCTTCTCCACCGGCTCCACTTGGCCTGGCTCTAGTCCACCCCACCAATTTTCAGACGTTTCCATTAGTTTTTTTTTTTTTTTTTTTAGTACCTGCACTGACACTGTTCAGCCCTGTGCAAGAGTAGGTAAGAAACTAGCAGAGCTGTCATAAGCCAGTATGAGTGCTGGAAAAGGAGAAATGTAGACATTTGAAGATTGGTGGAACAGACCCAGGCCAAGTGGAAATGGGGGTAAATAAGATATCCTTTCATTTAAAACACCCAAGGTCACTCTGCAAAAAACAAAATACAAACACAGGTGTTCCCCGTGGAGATAAGGTGGACAGGGGGCTCAATAAGGTGGAATGAAGAGGAAGAGTTAAGGATTCAGGAGGAGGTAGAAATCTGAGGAAGATCTAAGAGGTATGAAGCAGCAAGATTATAAAAGTTTAGTCTAAATACAGTGCATTCAAAGCTGAGCCACAGGTTGGATGATGGCTTCATGTTTATCTATTAGAAGACAGCATACATACACCTGTTTTTCCAGAGGCAGAGTTGGGTCTACTCTCTCCCCCATCATGGTAGGGCTCTCATGAGGTGTTCTGAACTTCATTCCTCCTCCTGCTGCTGCTAGTGGGCTTGACCTGGGACCTGCAGGACGCAAGCGCTCTGTGGGCGAGGACGAGCGATCCCACTCTGTGGCATCAAACTGTGCTGTTAGTGGGCAGGAAAAAGAGAGTGAGTCATGTTATTTACATAGCAATATGATCAGGTGGATTAATCCGCTCAAGCAGAAAGAAAAGCATCAGATAACAGACTACTGCAGAACCACATAAGCAGTGGAGGGGATTGTCTATTGGACGGGTCCCATTAAAGGTCATTATGTCAGGGTCTGACAAAAATATCTACCAGCATCAGAAATCTTTTAACGGGTTCAAAGGAGGTGGAACAATGCTAGTTTTCTTTTCCTGTACTCCGTTCATTAATCCTTTCAGATTAGATTATCAACTTTGCGACATATCAAAACTTCAGGTTGCAGTAAAGTTTTAAAAGACCTAAAAATGCCAGACTATGATCACAGATAGTCTCTACATGACAAACTCTATCATTCAACAGTTGCTACAGACAGGTGCAGCAGATGCAGACCAATAAGGGGGTCGGCAGATGTAAAACAACAGGGTTGTGGAGGTCCTGACAACTGCATGCGCTGGTGTGATACACAAAGAAAGACGATGTGGGTGAAAAGAGGTGCAGGGATGTTCAGGGTGAGAGGTCACCTTGCTCTCTGATGGGGGGTTCCTCCTCCAGCTGACCTACTGGGGCAGGCCAGGGCAACTCGGTCAACTCCCTCATTTCTAATAGAGGACGGGAGGGGGGAGTAGAGAGGAGAGCAAGAAAACAGCAGATGGGTTTTTACAACGTTCACCAAAACAAGGCAGGTGAAAGAAAAAGAGGCGATAATTAAAAAGTGAGACTGAACACCAAAGGAAGGTTTTAATGTGAAGCAGAAGGAGCGAGTGAGATGCGAGAAATGGAGGAGGTAGAAGAAAAGGGGAGCCCTACTGAGAGTGGAAGTGAGAGGCGGTATGTGTGGATGTGACAGAGCTGTGGTGTCAAGAAATGTAGTTAACGCTACCTCCTGTCAAGAGGAGCAGTAATATAATCTAACCCTTGTCCCCTTGATAAATCCCACACACGAAAAACAGTATCTCTGTGCCAGTATGTGCTCTGATAAATCAAGGCAGGTAAGGCTTAAGGATGCAGGAGACAGAACAGAGGGGAGTAGTAACATCGCATTTATTTATAGTAATGTGAACTTTCCCCTCTCAGAAATAGTCTCTTTGCACTATATGCAATAACAACAGTAACTTCAAATGTGTGTTAAGCCAAAGAAAAGTGTGTCAAAGGAACTGAGGTTTGTGTGGGCATTTGTATTTTATTCACTACAAAGCAACAGAAGGCACACCAAGTGTAGGAACTGAAAATAGCTCACTACATGCCATGGCTGACTGCTGTAATACCAGTCATTACTGCCGACTTTTCCACACACACCCAAGGACAGGTACATTATGCATTTGTGTCAGTACCACAATGTAAATCCAGCTCCTGTTCTGCGCAAATGCGGATTGCAAAACAAATAAAAAGGAACAGAGGGGTGACATCTTAATGAGCCGACTAATCCAAAGACCCCCCAGGCCGGCGACATCAAAGGCCAATTTGAACGGGCGTTTTGAGAAGGACCCAGGCTGTACATACATGTTCCTCTCCTTCCCTGGTTAATTATTGAGCAGGCAGACGCACTCTGCCACTTTCCCTAGCTCTCTGTGAATTATTGATGCATGGCTTGGTACAATGGCCCCATCTGGAGCGAACTGCACCTCCGCTGATGCCAGGATTAAAGTGTGGAAGGTACTCCTCAATGGAGGTCATGCACGGAGAACACAGCTGCACACAAAATTACATACAGAGGGGGAAAAGAAAACTCCTGGGACCACAACTGCCTCACTCTTCTACCTGTCACCTTGCCACCACAACAAATTTCCCATCTCCAATTTCCAAGAGCAACAGAGAAAGATGTGTGGAGAATAACAAATCTACATGGAAAATACACAAAAGCTACAGTAGGTTAACCAGGATTTTTTTTTAAATTAGAGGAAGATATCAGACATATAATTGTTTTAAAATCTTTTGAGCGTATAAATATAACTTCACATCTCCACTACCCTCTATTCTTTTTTGTCAAGATTATATATTCAAGTCTGGGTGAACCACTTTCTTACTTAACCTAACCATGGAATAACTTGAAACAAGTGAAATATTACAACTTATTCCATTAAAAGCAGATTTATCTTTAATGACAACAAATTTTTACATTAAAGAATATAGCTAAGATCCGATAAAAAAAAAGACTGTTAAAATCATTAATATACAAAGAAAAGTTAAAATCCTTTAGATTTGCACCATATGACACATGTAATGAGACAGGACAGAGCTCTTTATATGAAATAATAATGAAATGATCTAAGAGTATAGCCATTTATTGTGTGTTCACACATCCAAATATCAAATTTTCAATACTTTTGGCACCTGAAAAAGTACAATATCACTCGATATTATATCAGCATGAAACATACTATGTTTATCTCTTATTTTGTAGTTTGGAATATTGGAAAAGATTTGATCAAGTGATATTACTCAAAGAGAGTACAATAAAGAGGTAAACGGCCTGTAACAAGTCAGGAGACATGTCAAAGTGCTTTACACTACATTCAGTCATTCACCCATTCATGCACAAACTCACACACTGATGGTGGCAAGCTACACTGTAGCCACAGCTGCCCTGGGGCACACTGACAGAAGCGAGGCTGCCATGCACAGACGCCACTGGGCAGTAGGCAATGTGGGTGGGGTGTCTTGCCAAGGACAAAATGACACTAAAAGCCGGAATGTGAACAGACAACCCTCAGATTACCAGAAAGGGAAAAAAACGCCATCGCTGCTCGATAGATTCAACCAGCCGCCAAACCTTAACGCATACCTCCACCAACACATCCCAACACACACAGAAAACAGGCTGCAGTTACAGCTGTAGTTTTTTTTTATATAAAGGAGCATTCAAAACTTTGTAACTGTTAGTTTCCATACTCAAGGAACCTCATAGAATCGTGGTTGAAAGTGAAAGCAAATGACTGATTGTGGAATAGCAGTAGCTGCAACATGGCTGATTTCAGCAATTGTTAATCTGCTGATTTTCCTCTACAGCTATATCACAAGTTTATAGAACATGGTATGTAGTTGTATGGACAAAAAAGAAAAAAAAATGTGTATATATATATCGTTCCGGACAAAAATAGTGGTTTAGGATGACAGTGTCAGGGTTTGGTTGTGGTTTGGAGGACCATAATGCAGAGGCAGAGAGGCTGAGGAGATTTCTGGGTAGTTTAATGGGGCAAAACAGTAAACAAAGGCAGGAATCCAAAAATCCAACTAATAATGAAAGGCAAACCAGAACTGAGAAGACATCTGGGGAAAACCAAACACGAGGAGCCAGGGAGAGACGAGGAACGTGGACAACAGCATGGTAGGACAGCAAAGACAAGGAACCAACAAAGAGTGAGAGCAGAGGGAGAGCATATATAGGAGAGAGAGACAAAGGGATGGCTAACGAGCAGACAAGGAACAGGTGTGAGAGGAGACAACGAGGGAGCCAAGGGGAAAGGAAAATACACACACAAGAGGGCAAAAGAGGACAACAGAAAAACATGAGAACTAATATAAATCTAGAAATACAACAAAACTGGAATTAGGCCAATAAATCTAGAAAACAAGGAGCAAAGAAAAGAACAGCAGAACCAAGACCATGACAGACAGAAAAGCAAAAGTAGCTAAGACCAAATTGTTATCAATCTATGTAGAATATCATTCCTGAACAGACCCCTGAAATCTTGAAGCAGATGGGCAACATCAGCTTAGGACCACACAGGGTGGCACATCTGTCAGCTGAGAACAGGAAGCTGTGGCTATACTTTACATAGTCTCCAAGATTTCAACAATTATAGACCACAGAAAATGTTCCTTGATTGGAGAAGTCACAGTTTTTGGTTGGTCAAAACTAGGTGCGTTATAAATAGACCAGTCATGCCTTTTGTCAAAAGTTCTGGGTGGTCGCTTTGGTGTAATTCTGATATTTCATAGCCAAAGCATAGTTTAAATCTCCTCACCTGAACTGCCCATGTCAAACAAAGTTCCTTTCATTCTAGTTATATTCTATACATTATAGTTATGTTCAAGTTATTTTGGGCATTATGGGTGTTCCTTTGCAAAAATCGACAACTTTAAGTCTTCCACAGCATTCCTCCATATGGAAGCCCTCAGGGGTCCTTGACCCTCTTATTTTCTCCTTACCCTATGTTCTGTTTTTAGAAAATAGAGAATTCAATTTTACTGTAATGTTTATAAGTGACAGATCCAGTTCCCCTTGGCAAAAGACAATGCAGCTCAGCAGCTTGCACAGCACTGATGACATAAAAGCATGGCTTTCTCTGAACTTCCTCAATCTTAATAAGAAGTTAAGATGTTATGTTATTTGGACTGAGCTGCTTCCTTCCCTCCCAGTGGATCTTGGCTTACTGCCATTTTATGTCAGGGACTTTGTCACCTACATAAGGATTAAATCTGAACCAATTTTTAAATTTGAGAAACACATCAAAAGTTTTTACCAACTTCGCCAAAAAGCAATGATAAACCAATCTTAGCCTGACCATGATAAACTAGTTCGTGATTATGTTATTACTCATGGGACTACTGTAATTCACAATTTTCAAGATCTCTTTTGCTTGTCTGCAGCTTGTGCAGAACTCTGCTGCTCAGTTATTAATACAGACCCACAGCCGGTAGCATATCACTCCCATTCTAGCATCCCTTCACATGCTCCCTGTGCACAACAGAATTCATTATAAGTAGTTATTTGTTTTTAAATGTTTAAACATCCCCCCCCCCCCCCCACTCTCTTTCAGAGCTGCTTCAGCCTTACTGCCCAACCTGATCTCTTAGATCAGCTGATTGGCTGCTGCTGGCAGTCCATAAACTAGGCTGAAGCTCAGAGGTCACAGAGCATTAGCAGTCTCTGCTTCCAACAATTCATCCTTGTTTTTAAATCTCTTTTAAAAGTCCTTTTATTCCTTGGCTTTAAAAAATTGTGGTCTTTTTTGCATGGCATTTTAAAAATTACCTACTCCCAACCTGACTAGTTATATTGAATTATGGATGTACAGCTGAGAAATCTGCCCCATTTCCATTATGTCATTATGTCAATATGGAGCAACAGCTGTGAGAAACTTTTTACAACAATTTGAAACAGGTGACATCAATCAGCAGTGGTTGGCCAAAAGAATTTGGAAATAGCCAGGCTTTCTTTCAGCCATGGACAAAGAAAACATTTCTTAACAGACAGCTGACTTTTAGGTACATTAACTGCTAGTGTGTAATTAAAATTTGGAAAGAGCAAAGACAATAGAAGGGCTACATTCGGTCGATTAATGAAGACATCCGTCTCCACACAAAGCCTTCGGCACTCAGTCTCAGCAAACAAAGACCTTCTGTCACAAGAAAAACACTCTGTACAGGCAATCACAGGAAAAGGCACATTTAAAAAGACATATTTCTAACATTATAATGCTACATAATTTGTAAGCAATATGCATGTCATCTTTGAATTCATTTCACAAAAAAGAAAATCAATACCAATTGGATTCAACTTTCTATTCTACAAATTATTGCCCGCTTCTCCCAAGTTTGGGACTACCCATTCCATCTTTTGGTATCCTACCCCATTTCTATCATCAATCATCCGTTT